ATGGACGTTATCGAATCGTAAGTTAATGAGCATTATGCGATAAAAACGTCTTGGTCTGGAGCATGACCCGCGGCAACTAGATCTCAATGGTTTAAAACGCCATGAAAGCACCATAAAAACGTCCTTCATAAAGATCTCCGCGAGCACGATCTTGGTTTTATCACGATGAATTTTAGATGCCATCTTGCCTCGTTGCCCTGCCTCGACTTGTTAAAGAAAACTTTCGGAATTCTGTCTATGGCGTCTCGCTTGACATCTTATCAAGGAACAAAGCCATTCGATATGGGTCAACCTCAAGCGAGTTCGTTCTCCGCAACTCGTGGTTGAAAATAAGAATTTTACTTAGCCCTTGGGAGAAACCGTTTTCAATTCGAAATATATCTAACCATAAAAATATTTTTCTGAGTAAATTGAAAAAATGTAGTAAAAGCTTATTTGATTTGAAATCGTTCCGATGTTTGCCAATTTATTTAAATATTTTAAATATTTATATTATATCTTTTTAAATAGAAACAGTTTAAATACAAATAAATTATATTAAAAAAGAATATTAATAATTAAAATAATGATTATTTAAGTATAAATTAATTAAGTATAAATTAAGTATAAATATTAAATAAATAAAATTTTCAATTATTTCAATTTTTTTACGTGTTTTACCGATTACGTTGAAAATAACGCTGAAATTCTTCGTAACTTTGAGCTTTTTTTATAAATGGAGTGTACGTGCGCGATAAAGAGCAGTTATTCACTTCCATTTTACTTTTTGCAGGATGGCGGCACCGAGTCATGTTACAGGACGATCCTGCACTTCGAGACGATCCAGTGGTCCCACTCGGGAGAATGGTTGCTCCTGGTCCGTTCGTCGGAAGGGATTGCCGATGCTTCCGTTCTACTCAACGTGACGCGCGCTTCCGGTTACAGCCATGCCCACATCCGATCGGCGAGTATCACGTACCTTCTGCTCTGTCTGACCCTGCAGGCGATCCTGCGGGAACATCGTCGCTGAAACGACGATCCGATAGAAATTTAAGCGGAAGAAACCTTGGCGAAACTTCTAGGCGACTGGAAAGGCTCGTATGTCGGCCTTTCCCACTGACGAAGGGGAAAAAAAAGGGAGTTTTTTTCTGTACATAACGTCGAAATTCTTTCTCGAAGAATTTCCCCCGCGCGATCCTCGCGTCAACGCACAATTTGCCCGAAGTGCTACGACGCAACACTTGCGTGTGTCTCCGGCATCGCGTGAATACTATGAAATTCGGATGAAAGTTCTACTGACGCGCCTTCGGCGCGGATTACTACGGCCTTGATGTTTCTCGAATCTCGGTAGCGAGTCCTCTTGTTCTATTCTCGAACACGTTTCTGCGAGAATCGCACTTATGAAATGTACGATCGCGCATGCGAGAATATTTTACGGGCTCCGCTACCGCCGCCGTGCGAAATCTTCGGCAAATTTGCGTCCGCACAAACAAGTCCCCGTGCGATCGAAATATAATTTAAAACCCGATTTCTCTGGCCTTATATGTGAGTGAATAGCGGAAGAGGAAGAGAGAGAGAAAGAGAAAGAAGAGAGAGAGAGAGAGAGAGAGAGAAGAAGAGAGAGAGAGAGAGAGAGGAAGGATAAAAAGGGGAATGGAAGAGATCGCGCGGGCGACGGGATACGTATATATTATATAGAATGAAATTTGTAAACTACGAAATTGCGCGTGCACTGACAGCCACGCGACATGCCATATGATGTATATACTTGTATAGGTAATAATAAATAAATAAGCCGGTGTTTGCGAATTGTGGAACGACGTTCCCGACATGTAGGGATCAGAACGAAACGAAGACCAATTTCTTTTTCTCTTCTTTTCTTCTTGTCGTTCGCGAATTTCTCGCGAGTGAAAGGGACGAGGTACGGCCACCAAACTACTGGCAAATAAAACTTGAACGGATTGATTTTGTGCCGAATGATAATGTATTAATATTGTAAAGCAAAACCGCGAATACGAAGAGCGCGGTGCTGCCCGTAATAATAAACGAAATAATAAGGTTCAAGCTAGCAGAATGGCGCGATGCAACAGAATAGAAAGATAATTGCAGATTTTAACGAGGGACATACGCGATCTCCTGCATGCTCAGGACGAAAGTGTATGGGCATATTACCGAAACGGACGAAACTTAATTGTGCAACGTCAAATATTCTCAAAGATAGGGCGACTAAAATAAATTGTTGTATATTAATTAGGCAAGTAGAGTTTGATAGTATGTATATAGTGACTGTAAATGCGTAGGCTATCGTACGCCCGTACACGACGAATTATACAGTGACGCTGTTAGAGATATATTTATTATTCGTTGATATATTTTTATAAAGTTTTATTTAGCTATAAGTTCTCGTTCGCCTTCCCCTCCCCGAATCTCGTTCGCACGATCACAACGCACGTTTCGTTGAGTGAGGCAGAGAGCAAAGCGGCGGTGGCGCTTTGTGTTACGAACTTTTTCAACGAGAACCATTATACAATAAAATATACTGTGTCCTATGAACGTCCTAAATTGAATTTAGCTATAGCTCATCGTGAAAAACACGGATATTGTTGTCTTTACGATACTTTAATCTATCCCGATTAGACGGCGGCGGCGCAGCGTAGCGCGAACCCGTCCCGATCGATTCCGCTTCTTTCGAGTATCCTTAAGATGAATTTTTCGTAAGTTGGTGGTTCCTAATTTTTGTAAAAATAGAATTTGTACTCGGCTTACCGACGACTAAATGCTAATCTATGTCGCCGGTACGTCCTATTTGCGCACGTGAACGCAGTCGGTACTATCTATAGATACGAAATAAACATACCTGATGTCTTCACGTTAATTTAGTCGACTTTGACAAACCCGAATTTTTTTCAGATCGCTAAGATGTTACAAGTAAGCAACGTGGTGTAATCGTTGTACCCAATGATGCCTAAGAGTCCAATAAATGATATTTACAATAATCGCAGTGTGTACATTTGTAATACTCCTTTTTCCATAATCAATTGTCCTCCATAGAATCTCTATCCTATATTAACTTAGGCTTTTATGTTGATATCTTTCCAAAAAATTCGACGCAATTTAGAGAAGAAAGTGGTATTATGGCCACCTATTTATATTTTACATAATAACTTTGTTAATAATTAATATTTGAAATTGAAAACTTAACGATTACATTCATTAAAGTATTGTTAAATAGGTTTTTAGACTCAAAGTTATAAAATATTTATTTTTGAATATTATTTATAAAAATGTAGCAATACTGCATAATGAGTTGAAAAGAAACAGGGGTGATAATAACATGGGTTGTTATAAAAATAAATTTAAAAAACTGGTTTTGTTTAAAAGATACAATATTTTATTATAAAATTATATATTTGTTTAAAATAAATAAAATAATAAAATAATTAGAACTGTTAAAATCAATTACAATATAATCGTGAAGTTTTAAAATAAATAAAGGTAGATGCCAATTTGCTATTTGCATATACATAAACTCTTCCTGTTGTCGATATTAAAAATCTATAGTAAAATCATGAAATATAGATCAGCAGTACAGCAACAATTTATCGAAGAATTACTTCAATATTTTAATAAATCAAAAATTTCGAAAATAGCCATATTATCAGCTTGGAGAACTTCATTAACAAAATACTAGATTATTATTTAATGTTACATAATTGAAATGTATGCAGCTGAATAAAATAATAAATAACAAAAAAATACTCAAGAGCACATTCATGTGATAATACCCTCAACTTTAAAAAGAATAAGGAAATATATATAATTGAATGCTAAAATGTATCTTGAAAAAGTTTCGAAATGCTCAAAAATAAAAATGTTTTATAATAAATGTCGGCTATTGTGTACTGATATATTAGCATGATGACGAGCTACTAAATAAATGATTCGTCACTTAATAATGGAAATATTACAATGCCTATAATACCTACACAGTCTATAATATTATCTTGTTCTCTACTTGTATTATTTAATTGAGAAATTAGATTACTTATTCCTATTATTAGCATTACTTATTCCGCAAACTAGACATTAAATTTGCCGTTTTCAACAGCTCGATTGCATGTTGACAACTTTAAATGGTCAAAATTACATCGTAAGACATATCGATCGTAGAAGAGATTTTGATATAAAGATTACGAAACTTCGTAGAATTTCTCGAAATGTACGCAAGAACACGGATCGGATCGCTCTAATAAAATAAATTTGAAAGCTTCGGATTAAGCTCTAAGTAGAAGGAGCGAAGCCGCGGATATAGACGAATTATTTTCACAAAGAAAATCACGCGAAGAATCCTTTCAGTCAAAACGTGACCGACTTTATAACCATTTCCTCCCAAATGGTTTTGCCTACGGTTTGAACTGCGACATTTGAAACCCAGTCTGCTCCCTATTACTTCTTATCCTAGCCGTTTCCTGTTATTCCGGGAGATTTATATCCGTTCCTATACACGGCGGAAATGTATCGCGTGCGTTTCTTGCTGGTTATGAAAATGCGTTACAAAACGCTGTCGAGAACAATAACTGTTGAACGGGTTAACTCCACTTTTCGATGTATCAATCAGTTTGTCGAATGTCATAATTAACCGTTCACGTTTATTAAATTTGATCGATTGATAAAATGTTGATACTGGATCGGTTAGAATATACGCAAGTTCGTTAATCTTGTACTCTTTTTAGAGCACTTTTAACTGCTAAGCTGCTAAACTGGACATTCGGTCAACTCAAAGAAAACTGCAATGAAAAATTTCTTTTACAATTAGTTGAAATGTCAGTTTCTACTCGACACAGATTTTGTATTAAAAAGTAAGTTCCCTTTTACATTGCGTACGTTAAACCGCAGGGCACCACATACCACATTTGAGAACGTTCCTCGCTAAATTGCGCCACGGAATTCGGCGACATGAGAATTGGCCGCGTTATATTTCGCCGCGTACATATACATATATATGTGTGTGTATATATACATATATATATATATATATATGTGTGTGTGTGTGTGTATGTATGTATATATACATATATATGACGATGAAAATAATTTAATTCGCAATACCAACACACGCAACGTACCGTGGCGAATGCGCCAACCAAGTCACGTGTAACAGCCGCGTTAACTGGCGCGTACACGTGTATATATTTCTCGGCTTAAATATAACGAGCTTTCGCTACGAACATCGCGGTGAAGGCAGCAGGACGAAGAGGAAGAGGAGAAGGAGAAGGAGGAGGCACAGTGGGTTTCAGTTTGCAGGAAGCCCGGGATCGTTCCACTTCTTCCGCACGCGGCGGAACAATCCGGCTTTGTCTCGTGGAAGTGCGCTTCCTATATTACTTCTACTACTACTGCTACTGCTACTGTTATTGCTACTGCTACTGCTATTGCTACTGCTACTGCTACTGCTATTGCTACTGCTACTGCTATTGCTATTACTATTACTATTACTTGGCCACAAATTTCAGCTTTTTCAGACGTAACCAGCAAATTGAAGAGAGCTGCAAGCGCAAAAAAAGGAACGATCGTCATTATGCGTCTTGAACGCAAAAGAAATTCACAGATCCCGAATGACCGGCCCACCGTTAATGATAATTACATCGTTTGCAAAGGATTCGATTAATCCTGACAATCGCAATCTGATTTTCACGGAATAACTGTCAGATACACGTCCATTCATTGTTCCACTACGTTTCACTGAATATTTCATAGACTTCTCCAATATTTCTTATCCGACCTCTCCATTTCACTGGACGAGTATAAGTGACGGCTATAACAATGCGCAATTGAGTGATCATAAGAGCGACTGCGCTTAACATCGATGACGTAATCAGCTTGTTAAATAACATCAAATGCTAATCTATTATTTAATTTAGTACATTTAATTCAGCAAACTGCTATACAACTACTTAATACATGAAATTGATGAATAATACTAATATAAACATAAGACTCGTAAAATATTTCTTTTTTTTTCTTTTTTAACGGTAATAACTTCAATGTCATTTTTAAGAGATGTCTAATTTTTACTCTGTTCAATTAAAAACCTGTATTTTCTCGGTAATCTTTAGTACCAGAAAACGACTGAGAGAAACATTTGTAAACTTTCCCGTAAGTTGTGTTCCTACAAGCCATGTATTTGTGCACCGAGCCGCAATATCGCATTATCTCGGGAGATTTGAAACTCGTATGGAGAAAATTATGTTCTGGATTTCCGTGGCTGAGTCGGCGGCTCCTTGCGATCGTCCTGTCCTTAATCTTGCCAAATCGATCCTACTAATACATAATGTATCTCCGAGGCCTACAATCTTGAATTTGTCTAATCGAATTAATGGCATCTATAGTATTTTTTCTTTTACTTTCCTTTTCTTTCTCGCCAGATTAATATATAATATTTAGAACCACATGTGCAGCAAAATTCTAACGTGTGTGTAAAATTCTTCTTTTGAAATTTATTCAGAAAATTAAGTGAGAAAGTCGAAACGTAAGGAACAGTAAATTCTGAAATTTATTACACATTTCAAAAAAATGAAAAAAACAATGTCTGTTTGAATATCTGTGGAAAC